GTTATTGAAAAATAAAGGACGTAAAAGTTCAGTACCTGCCATTAGAAAAAAAAGTCCTAGTTAGAAAAAAAGTGCTAGTTTTTAAAAGTCCTTGTTAGAAAAAAAAGTCCGAGTCAAAAAAAGTTACTCATGGTGTTCCACTTTTCCAGACCGACAGGCAAATAACAATCGTTTTGCTCAAGCCAATAAACTATGTAAGTAAAATATTAAAAATAAATAAATAAAACTGATAAATTTTTTCGTTAAGCAGCTATTTGTGACTTTTTGTGAATTTGCGATAAAATTAGCGTTCAGTACAATTCATTATGAAAGCGTATTATGCGTTATTAAAGTAATCGCTCTTGTCAGTTTATCCCTTATAGATAAAACTCACTTTTTGTTGCTAATTTTTACAGAAATGAAATCAAAGTGAAGCAACATATAACGATTTGATTATAGAATTAATTTATAATTATTTCGAAACTTTAACTGTTTTGAATTCAACATATTAAATGTATATACTATTATTTTTAATTGGCTGTAATAAAGAAAATAGTAATGTAAAATAAAATTTTGAACACTACTTGTTTTCAAGTGGGCGAAAAAATAAGAAAATTATTCTATTTTGTCACACCTAAGAAGAAAAAAAAAGAAAAGAAAAAGAACGCATCACTTTCTAAAGACGGAGAAGGGCAGTTACCAAATTACCATCGTTATTGACATGAAAGCGAGTTAATTCCGTCAATAATATTAATAATAAATGTTGCAGATAATAAGAAAACGTTTATAAATTGAGAACTGTCACAGGTGTCCTGAGGTTTATCTGAGTGATAAAAAAAAGTTTTTTTTTTAATTTTCATTGATTATTAATTCCGTTTTAATACTTATTTGATTTGTATGTTTTTGTAATCTCCATAATAAAGTCGTTCAAGTTATGTATTTCCTTTCACATGAATAATAACTTGAGAACCACAGTGAAAATATTTTTGCCAAAAATTTGAAAAGCACATTAGAAGACACTACGGAACACCCGGTAAGTTTGAATCAAAAATTATGTTAAATTTTATAGAATTAAAATGAAAAAAAACTTGTGTGTCAGGAAGCATTTTTAAAAAGAAAACACCAAAAATGTTGAAATTATTTTAATTTTTGTCTAAAATCGCAGGACACATAATTAGCGTTGAAAACCTTTCAATGACTTAATTGAAAAGTTTTGTTTTCTACCAGATCCTCTGCAAAAAGCGTTAAATTTGGCTTTTATGTAATTGGAGAAATTTCTCTCAATTCCATTTTCTTCCAACTTGTTTGAAGATCTGCTTTTGCCGTTTGATCTTTTTAGAGTTTTAATTATGTCTTTTTCAATTTTATTGTTATTCAAAAAAAAAAAAAAAAAAAAAANAAAAAAAAAAAAAAAAAAAAAAAAAAAAAAAAAAAGCTATCGACAGAATTAATTAAAGTTAGGGGGTAAATAAACATTTAAATTTTTTTTTCAAGCAGAGAGACACGAAATTACGTCCTCATTGTGTTCAAAATATTTATCAGCGTATTCAGTTCTTTTAAATATTAAAATAGTTCTTTAAATATTACTCTCTTTATCTTGCAGGAATTTCTGTAATAAATAATTTCTTAGCACGAAAACGAGTGCTTTATCAAAATAAATAACTGTTTATTTGTCATAAGCAACTTTATAAAAATTCCAAGTAGAGCTATAGTAATTCAAAAATTCTAATTCTTTCGCAAAGTATACTGTTATTTAGTAACATTAGGTATATGTCTTTCATCAGGAGTTAGCGTGTGCAAAGTGAGAGTAAAGCGAACCATTAAAGTTTATTTCTGCGATTTAGGAGAAGATGGCAAAGCAAGTCGAAGCGAAAGGGAAACGGAGTGTCGGAAGGTGAATACAGGCACTTTATGTAGTGTATTGTGTTAAATAAATGAATAAAAAATCTAAATTGTTTAAAGAGCCTTCTGTCATCACATTGAACAAAAGAACCGGAATGATTAAAATTCTCAAAATAAAAAATAAATAAAAAAAGCATTTATATTTAGCGGCGAGCTTTATTTTCTCACAACTATAAAAAAGTGAAACTATTGGGCAAACTTTTTGGTCGAGGGCGGAAAAACGAAGAAAAAAAGTTTGGTGGGCCAAGTAAAAACTTCTAAGGTAGAAAAACGATATGCAAGTTTTAATTTAAATATTTAATGAGATGAATGCTATTGCGATTTCATTTTTAGAAGTTCTTTATATTGAGGTTCCAAGTGAGATGTATTTGTTTTAATGCTTAAGGTTAAATGTTTGCTTGTTAGTCTACTTCTGAAAGGATTTTTTCAAAAGTTTATAGTTGAAAACACTTGTTTACACATATAAGATGAAGCAAACTTAGCACTGATTTTCTGGGCGTGAAATATTAAATTTGGGAAACTAGGGTTTGGTAATGATTTGCAAAACTCTAACTTTGGCATATTTAGAAACAACTGCTTCAGATGGCGCCAATCTACGACTATTCTATAAAGAACGTTTACTTTCAACATTTTAACAATTGAAGCTGTCCATTAGCCATCAATTTATGTTTTGTAGAAAAAAAATAGAGAAAGTAAAAAGATCATCAATACTTTGTTAAAAAAGTAAGAACAAAAATAGCCTTAAGCAAAGTAGACAAGAAAATAGATGTATATTGTTTATATATTCGTCACGGATCGGCAAGTTGAAATTCTATACACGGGCCGGATGAAACTTTCAGGTGGGCCACAGTTGGCCCGCGGGCCGTAGTTTGCCCATCCCTGCACTAGACTATTCCGCCATCCGTCAACTTGTCATGATTAAATAATACTTTAAATAATTTTGATTAAGTTTAAAAATAAGAAAATGGGATATATACCTATAACTTTGACATTTCTCAGGATAGACTTACCTTGCCGATGACTTTATATTAAGACAACAAAGAAAATGTTTTTTTTCCGGTAAATTTTGACTTTCAACCAATCAGGGAATGCTATCTAATTCTCTAACTATGCTAGATATAGGAACTCTAATTCTACATTATGTGATTTAGCCTCAGTTTTCTATCAAACTCAAATATCTAATAACTATCAAACAGCCGTGTGTAAGCCGACAATTTCATTAGACACGTGTAGTTGGCAGAATAAAAATAAAAAGTTGAATAAAAAAAATATTTATTTAATCTCCCAGATGCAGGAAATCTGATATCGGAATATTTATAATCACATTTAAATATTTATAGATCTAAAACTAGAGTAAAGTTGATACATTGAAGCAAATACAAAACACGCGGTTTGCAAAAAGCTTTTGTAATTGTTTTATGTTGATGTTTAGTCTAAATGTCTCGAAATAATCTTTTTATTTATGTACACTTGACAATGTCAATCATTTTTTCGAGTACAACAACTTTCATGTTTTAAATTTGCTATGACGATCTTAAGACCTTGAACTTTGTGATTTTTAAGAGCAAAGTAACTTGCAAACATTTTTATAATAGATAATTACAACACATTACTAGAACCATAAATTTTTACAAACGTCAAAATATAAATTAGATATTAATTTTTTAAAGGAATATCGAACTCTAAGACTTGCACAATAAATTTATCAATTTATTGTAAGAACTGAAATAACTGTTATTGAAAAATAAAAGATAAGAAAAAGTTGGAGCGTTGAATGTTTAAAAATAAATATCAGGATAAGTATTAAACCAATTTTGAGTTCATTGCCTGCTCCCATCTCTATCGGGTTGAAAGTTAGTTTCAAATGATTGCATTGAGATAAAAGTTAGAACTCAGTTGAGATGGAAGCTAGAAATAATCAAGAATAACAAAGTGTTATCATTATTAAATTTCGGCAAGTGTTGAGTAATTAATTATAAGATAAAAGAAGTTGAGTGAGTTATCGAATCGCCAC